ACTTTAAATGGGGCATATTTTGGGGGTAGAGCTTATATTATGAGCACCCTAAAAAATCACAGTAGGGCTTATTTTCCAGCTTGGTCTTATTTTCAGGGAAATATAGTGCTTGGGTTTTCAGTGTTTCTTGTATATAGGGCGTGAGTGACATGTGACTGGCTCTGCCAAAAGACGTCAGAGGAAATTGACTGCAGGATTTCTATTTATACTGAAAGAGAAATTAAAACTATAATAAAGCCTGCCAAGAATGCCTGCCAAAACCAGACAGATATGTTTGGACAAGCCTGATAAAAGAACATTTTTTCCTTTGTGCAACCCATGCTTGTTTAACTGATGACCTTGCAATGTAACCGAGATGCTTAACCTCCCTTAGCAACCCATGATGTCATCCAATCCACCAAATTGCAATGCACCAAATCTGCCTTTGTGCCTCCCTGTTTAATCTCCCCCCAAAAAGTCCCAAAACCCCACCATGTGGGGCTCTGACTCTCTGGGAAGGATCCCAGTCAGGCCCACCCGTGTAATAAACTGCCTCCTAAACCTTCTCAGTGCTGCTTTTTCCCATGTTCAAACTGCTTTCTATAACAAGATAAGAGACAGGGAGGCCAGGGAGATAGCTTGGTGGTCTAAGCACCTGCCTGGCAAGCCCAAGGACCTGGGCATAATTCCCGGTACTGCATGCTGTGCCAGCCCCAGGTGGAGCCAGCCACAGAAACTGGGTGTGGTGGCACATGCCTGTAATCCCAGCACTGGGGAAGCTGAGACAGGAGGATCACTATGAGTCTGAGCTGCATAGCAAGACCCTGTACCAGATAAATAAATAAATAAAATAAGAGAGATAGGGAAGCACTAAGAACTCACTGCCATCATCTTTCTTCTTGGTGAATGTGTGGACCCCATCTGCAGCCATAGCAGCCAGGCTGGCTCCGTGGGAAGAAGAATGGGAGGAGAGAAGGACACAGTGCCCAGCTAGTAGACCAGGGACAGGAGGAGCCAGCACCACTGCTCTGAGACATCTGGTTATGAGAGATCATCAGATAAAGCTACTATAGCTTCTTTTTTTTTTTTTAAGAATGGATTCATTGAAGTATAATTTAACTGAGACACCATAAAATTCATCTATGTATTAATGCAAGTTTTTAATAAATTTTCAAAGTTATGTAAACACCACACTGACCCCTTTTTAGAATATTTCCATTGCCCCAGAAGGGTTCCCCAGCAGTTTGCAGTGAATTCCTGGAGCGAATCCCTGACCCTATTCTCTCAGGCCACCATTAATCTGCCTCCTGCCTCTACAGATTAACTTTTTCTAGACATTTCATAAATCACTCTTTCGGGTAACTTAAAGTATTGTGATCTGCCACTTGGGGTGCGTGGTTTGTAAGTTCTGAGGGACCTCATACTCAGGTGACAGCAGCAGGAAGGAAAGATGCCAATGACAGGGCATGGTGCAGCCAGGTGTGGTGGCACAGGTCTGTGATCTTGGTACCCAGAGGTGAAGCCAACCTGGCTACACAGTGAAGCTCTCTGAAAACACAAAATAGAAATAGGACATGAAGGAACGAGTCCTCAAGTTCTGGTTCCAGTTCTTCTCATCAGCTATGCCTTTTTGTAGATGTCTGAGCTTCTCTAAGTAGACATCTCTCATCCATGAAATGAGGGAATTACAGCGAGAGATTTTTAAAGTTCCCCTCCAGCTGTGAAATTATAAGCTGTTTTCCTAAAAAATAAAAGCAGTATTTGAGTTATTTGAACTAAAATTCTGTATCATTGAACAAAAACATAAACACATTTTTTGTTTTAAAATCTAAATACTGGGGGTTGGGGAGAGGGCTCAGTGGAATAAGCACTTCCCTGGCAAGTGCAAAGGCCTGAGTTCAATCCCCTGTTTACCAAAAAAAAAAAAAAGTCTAAATACTTATGCTAATGTGGCTAACTCTACAAAGTAGGGGAACTGAGAGTGTTATTAAATATCTATCATAGAAAGAAGACAGTATTTGG